ATTCTGTTCCTTTAAGAAAATACTATGATATATATATATACACACAACACATTTATACATTACTACCAAAACGTAATCCAGATGTGGACTACGTTGGGCCTCACCCCCTCCTTCATCGGTACATCTTCAGGAGTGATGTTACTGTAGTACTTTTTTTTTCCTAGATTAAAATCTATGAGACTTAAATGAAGCATTTTGTCACAAACAACGAAACAACAACACGCGCGGCTCATTCACAAACTGCACGTGAACGCCTCCTCGCGGATGTTTATCCTCCGAGTTGACGCGCGACGCACAGTCAAAGCTGTGACGTCACCACGCACGCAGTCACCGGCCAGCAGGAAAAACGAGTTGGACGCAATATTTCACGAACAAGTTATTTTATTTTCATTTTTTTCTTCTTCTTCTTCTCACAGCTTCTGTTTTAACTCGTGAACGCGGACTCGAAAGCGACGTCGCTGTTTTTTTTATTTTTTTTTTAACAAACGCAGGATTCATGAGCGCGCGACGAACACGCGAGCCGCTAACTAGCTAGCTGCAGCTCCACAGACTTAGCATGCTAGCTAGCTGACAGCGTTAGCCCAGGACATGGACCCGTTGAGTGCAGCCGCGGATGAGGTGACCCTGGAGGGGCTGGACGGGATAACCGTCCCCTCCCTGTGGATCCGGTTGGAGGACAGACAGCCCAAGTTCCCCCTGAAGCTCGACGACTGCACCAAGGAGCTCATCTGGAGGTTCCTGGTCAGCAACGCCGACCTGAAGTTCTATCAGCTCCCGCAGGAGAGAGAAGATGTGGTGCTGTCTGACAGGTGAGTCCGTCGAGAATCGTCTTTTTTTTTTTTTAAAGTTCACGTTTTAAAGAAGGACGTGCAGCCACTTACAAGTTATCCAAGACAATCCACAGTAAACACGGAAGATAGATGGTCTCAAAGATGGTCTCTATTGATCCCATATGGTCATGTGACACATGTTTGCATCAATAACAGCGTCAAACGTGCAGGCAGAAAACTGAGTTGTGGCTCTGCACACATGATGACTAACAGAATTCTGATCCCAAATACAATGTGCAATTTAAAAAAACATTTGAAAGGCTGCAGTTTGTGTCACTACTGAACTGTCTAACAATAACATTACCATCATATCATCATTACTATTATCATCATATTGCCACTGCACTACTTGTCTGCCTATTCATCTTGTGTTTCTGTTTTTGTTCTTTTTACCTCAATGTTTTGTTTTGTTCTATTGCATTGTGTTTTGTTGTGTTCCGATACACAAGCTGCTATGACGACTTAATTTCCCTCCGGGGATGAATAAAGTACTCTATCTATCTATCTATCTATTTGTGTTTTATTAAAAGATAAATGTCTGCCAAGCATAATATACCCTTGTCTCCTCAATGTTTGAAGTGGATAAAGACAATTTCCTCATCATTGGTGAAAATTGATTACAAGTGGCATTTAAACACTTTTCTGTTCAGGATATTTCATTTTCAATTTACTTCTTTTATATAAACGTCTTGATGTCATAAAGTGGACTTCATGCTTGCAAGCCTTTGTGTGTTCCTAGATATAAAGACATCGACCCAGAGACAGGCATGGGAACAGCAGAGACGTTTTCTGAGAATAAGAAAGACATCTACCCTGTCCATATAATTCTAGAAAATAAGAATGGGATACAGGGCTCGTGTCCTGTCTTCAAAGAGAGGACCGACATCACAAAGCATGTACGCTCCAAGTCCCTCACTGCGTTGGTTAGTTTGGAGGAGGCTTTGGAAAGGTTGGTAGTTCTCACAAAAAAGTTGTAATCATATCTAAGAACAAACTGCACATTTGTCTAATAAGCCATCTTCATATCCTGCTCCTCCTCAGATATGGACGTAAGCTTGTTGTGGTGGCATCAAACAGTTTGCGGTTCCGGACTCTGATCGGTAACGAGAGCGATCCTGATTTGAAACTTAGCGACGACTCCTACTGTTTGTTGGAAAAAGTAGGCCGAGCACGCTGGCAAGGAGAGCTGCAGAGCGAGCTGCACAGATGCTCTTTCAAGTATGAGATAACACGCATGCTCATTTAGCTACCAATGTTAAGTTGTTCACTTCCTGACCGATCGTTTGTTATGTTTCAATAGGACAGATGCTCGAAAGTTGCACTACATGAGGAAGTCTCTCGTCAAACACGGACTCATCACCATGCAGTCGCATGTCGCACGAGCTAAATCAGGACAGCAACAGCAACACTCCATACTGCTGCTGCTCAAACGCTTCCACGTAAACAGGTTTGTTTAGCATGTGTACCAAGTCTTGTTTACTCATTTCTTGGATAAGGTTTGCAAATAATGATTATTTTGAATTGTTGGTTCCATCTTCCCAAGTAGCAGCTCACACTATATTCAGTGTGAATATCAAATATCAGTTGCTGCCACCGTCACAGTTCTATATCAGTTATTTTCAAGAAATTCTTCTTCCTTTCTGCTCTTTCAGGAAGACTAAGTACGACATTCTGATGGAGCAAGTGTCCACCCTCCTCCAGCAGTCACCTGGTCAGTTTTGCACTATGGTCGCGGTCAAAGAACAACTTGTAAGTATTTCCCTGAGCGTCTGTTGGTCTATGTGCGTGTTCCTCTGTGCGATTGTGGTAATCATTGTGTTTTTTCTTGTAGCATGTGGCTGAACGTACATTTAAGCGTGTGTTTCAGTACATGCGAGCTGCAAAGTTGGTTGAGTTTTGCCAGTTCCCTCTGGAAGAATTAGATCCCAGCGCCAAGCCCTGCACCACCAAGAAAGGTAACGTGACACGTGCTCATCTCAAAACAATACATTTTCAAAGTTTTCGCTTTCCTTATAGGAATCGTACCAGATAAATATTTGGGGTTGCAAAATGTTATGCAGTATTACATGTTTTTGCCATATACATTACACAAGAGTGTTTTTATTTTATTTTGTTTCCCAGGTAACAAAGTGCTTGTGCGATGTGTGAAACTGTTGAAGCCATATTCAAAAAAGGGCGTCCCTGATGATGACGACGATGATGATGAGGACGAGGAAGATGACAGTGGAACAAGAAGAAGAGCTTTTCCTCCTAGTGGGCGAATCATGGAGAAGGATGTCCTTTCACAGGCCTATCACATCGGTGCGTTTCAACAATCCTTTCTTTCAACATCCTGCAGACTCAGGAAAGTGAAGTGGATAGAATCCTCCCATAAATATTCATATCAAAATATTTTGACGTACTGTCAACAATCTTGTAACCGTCTTCCTAATTTTTAAATGAAATGAAACTTTGGAAAATATTCAGACTTGAACAAGCCCATAGACCTGTTTTGTATATACGCACCATTTTAAATGCACTATTGTATAAAACAATTTAAAATCAACTAGTAAGTAATAGATTACACTTTGATTTTCATTTCATTCTCTCACATCCAATTGATTATAAATTCTTGCCTCTTGGTTTCTCTTGTTATTCAGTATTATCCTGCGGCACAAAGGGAATGCCCAAGACTGGTATCGGATACGTAATGAACGTTGGTAAACTGGAATCTCGTATGATCTGCCGAAGACTTGAGAGGGACGGTGTAGTAAAGGTATCCTCTGAGAAAATACACAGCAAAAGCAGTAGTTTACTCAAAACATTTTTTAACATATAAAAATGAAAAGTTGTTTCAATTTTATGTGTGTAATGTCTTTTATTCTGAAGGGATTCATGGAGGATGAGGGTCGGCAGAGGATTACTAAATATATCGGCCATAAGTATGTATCTATAAATGAGCAGAGGTTTTCAAATTCTTATTTTAAAACCACATCATATCAAATGTGATGGTATTGATAATATTTCTCTTGTCACTTCTCTTGACAGGTGTGTGGATGTCAGTGATCAGCTCCAGCTTTTTGCGAAGGAGAAGGAACGCAAGAAGCTCCTCTTCTCTGCACCAGAGACATCAGACGCTAGAGCTGCCGCCTCTAAAATACCACCGTCCTCAAGGTCGACAGGAAAAGGAAACAACAAAACAAAGAAGAATAAGAAAACAGGCGGAGGAGGAGACGAAGACGCCGAAGAAGCTGGGCAGACATGTGGTGATGGACAAGTAGAGGTGGGCGATGAAGGGTTGGATGGAGGTGGAGGTAAAGCAAGAGGAAAGTCAAGAGCAGGAAGAAAGTCGAGAGGGAAGAAAGGCAGTGTGACAGAGGAGCAGACGCAATCTGACGCCCCCAAAATACAACCTGCACCAGCTGAATGTGAGTTCTCGTTCAACCGTTGCACTTTTCAGAAAAGAAAAGAAAATCCACATCCTGACTGTAAAATTTGGAAATCAAAGAGTTGGTTTAATAGGCAGATAAAAGTTTTTATGTTGTGTCACCGTTTTTCTTTAATGTCTGTCATCACTCAGGTGAAACCACAACGTGCAGCGAATCCAAGACCAGTCCGACACCTGACATTCTCAGAACAGGTAGTTCTCAACAATTACATTACGAAAAGTCTTAACCGTCCCCAAACAGTGTGTGCAAGTAAATTAAATATTTTTTGGCCACTAGGGGGCAGCAGAAAGCATTTGTAAACTCAAAACTGTCCAGTTGATGCTGGGAACTTGTTGGCAAACCAGGTTTCCGCAGTGGTCTTAAAACATCTTAAAAATTAAATCATCTGAATTAGTGTCTTAAATATGTTAAAATATTATGTACTTAGTCTTAAACATGTTTAGGTAGGTTTTATACATCTAAATATTCATCTGATGCTGAAATACTTTGAAATTAGGGTGTTTTTGAAGAGAAATGTTTCAGTGGCTGCCAGAGATTGTAATATCTCTGTGGGTTGTATTTTGTCTCCCAATAATACAGATATTTGCATCTTGTAATACAACTTCAAATAAGACCAACTTGAAACTGAAAGCTGATTTTATCTCTCTACAAATCTCTCTAAATTCAACTTTTTGAAACCTGCAGAGATTTAGGAAAATTCTGACTGGATCTCTTGTGCACAGTATTAATGTTTGTTCCACCTTCTCATTTTTTCATATTGTATCTTTCATCAGAACAAGATGCGACGGAGGTGGAGGAAGAACAGTCCAACGTAACGTCTGTCCCCCCTGTGGCTGAGACAGAGGCTTCATCCAACAAACCAGAAGACGTCAACATTGTGGTTATTAAAGACATTTGTCCACAGGAGGTCAGTTTGATTGTTCAACTGGTTGGTCTGTGTATTTTTTCAGCTAGATCAGATCAGATCATGTTAATTCTCATTCTGTGAACAGAGGTAGTTTGAGGTTTGATTTGGCAGAGTTTTCACCCTAAAGTGTCCTGGTCGTGATCCAGCTAAGTTTCAAGCTGCACAGGTTTCGTTTTGAGGCATCAGTTCGTTTTTAACTGAAGCTGAACTGTTTGAGATAAGAAAATGAAAGTAATGTTTCGAACCACCTCCCTCAGAACACCAATCGACAAAAATTCCAGCACTTTAAGCAGAGGTCTCATGAGACGTACCGCCTGCTGAAGAGGAAGAACCTGATCGTCGAGGCGGTCCGCAACTTCAAAATCATCGAGGGACTTTTCCCGTCAGTTTGTCTTTAATGATCCTTCCCTTCATTACAAATCATTTTATCACAGAGTGAAAGTGGAGACAGGAATGTCATCATGCTTCCTTTTTTTTTTCCAGACTGCAGAAGATGATCAATGATGAGGAGAAGCTGGAAGGAGTCAGCTCAAAGTGTTGCAAAAAGACAATTTTACGTCTCGTTCACTGTCTTTCGAGAGAAGGCTTGCTTAAGCTTTACACGACCACTGTCATACAGGATGGCGTCACCAAGAAGGTCAGAGCACACACACCATTTCTTAAGATGTTCTCTTAAATTAGATCCACTTTTTGTGGTTAGATATATTGTCGAAAAAATATCAAGCAAATGTACAGATTAGAAGACGAGAGAAGAAACGTTAACTTCTATCCCCACGTCTTGTCTCCTCTGTCTCTGTCTGACGTTCTCCTGCGTGCAGGTTCAGATGGTCGTCCATCCGTCCGTTCAGCCCAATGATGACATAGTGCAAAGAGTTATCGAACAGGTCCGCTTCAAAATCTCCAACTGTTACTCAACTGTTCGGTGAGCAAACGCTGAATACTATAAAAGCCAGTCTGTGAGAAATATAGAATACTGTGCCAGTTTACTTTGGTGTTGCTGCCCTAGCGGTACCTCATTCCTGTGACTGTACCTCATTTTGTCATTTTCTTCTGTGTAAATGTCCTCTGTACTCAATCCTGACTTTGAATCAGATTGCATTCTGGAACAGAGACATGTCTTGTTTATCTTGTTTCTTGAATCAGTCTCTGTTCAACAGTTTGTTGTCTTTCTCTGCTGCCACTCAGTCTGCAGGAAGAGAGAGCCAGAGAACAAGAAATCCAGTCTAATCCTGCGGGAAGCCCTTCCAAAAAACAGAAGAGCAAAGCTAACAAGAATAAAGAGGACAAGCCCACGATAGGTTGTGTTTGATTGTATTGCTCGGTCTGTTTATTTTTTTAATTGTCCCGTTGTGTTAAAACTTTATTGGCTAAATGATTTTTCACTTCGATTTTTCTTTCTTATAAACATTTGTCCCTTACTCATTGTTTTGTCTTTGTCCTGTGTCCCTGTTTATATAGTCCGAGGACTGGGTAAGAGCCTCGGCTTCCAGCCTAAGATGCATCGCCTGCGTGTTGTCCATAACTTCCTCTGGTACTTGATCTACGGGCACCCGCTCAGACACAACTCCTCTGACTCCCAGCCAACCGGTGAAACATCAGCAAACGTGCACAGCTCCGATGCTGAAGCCAAACACCCAGACAACCATGACAAGCAGGATCTGAAAGACACACAAAACTGCACAATCGTAGACGAAACCACACAGTCGTCGGACACTGCAGATTCTGCCGTGTCCAAATTGGATTTGACATCAGGTGATGAAGAAGAGGAGCAGAAGACTGAATCAATACCACGTAACTCTCTGTCTGACATGAAAGGTGGGTGTCGTATCAAGGTTTTTAAATGAGCTTGTTGCTGATATTAAGAAAACATCTCTGTAGTTCAACACCTTGATTTCTGTCTGTCTATGATAGTGTACGCTGATGAAGAAACATGGAAGAAATTCATTCCTCCTGTGCGTGTCCACAAAGAGTTCGGCAGCGGCTGGGCGATGGTGGGCGACCTGCTCCTCTGTCTGCCTCTCTCCATCTTCATCCAGGTCATCCAGATCAACTATAAGGTGAGCGCACTTTATTATTTTTGTCTTTTTTTTAGAAAAATAAAATACAGTAGTCATTATAACAGTTTTTTTTCTTACACTGATTCAACTTTATGATCATTTTTGGAAAGAGGGTGTAGTTTTTGGTATGTGGACGATAAATGAAGTAAATACATCAACATAATAAATTGACACATGAGTGTATACAGTTTAATATGTTCTGGATATGTATGAGATGTATCGATGGTCTCTACAGTACAACTTCAAATGCAGTACATAAAAAAACACATTTGCTGATTTATGTCCAAAGGTGGATGGACTGGAGGAATATCTCAACGACCCTGTGAAGCAACACCTACTTGTTCGAAGCTTGCCGGCCAAAATAAGAAGACAGCTGTTTTACAGACGGTGACTTTCCTTCTACCGTTCTCTCTCCAGAACACGTCATAACTTTAATTCTAAAACTGAGTGTTTATGGTTTCTCTACATCAGGAAATACCTGTTCTCATTCCATGATAATCTGCAGAAGTTGGTTTACATGGGTCTGATGCAGCTGGGTCCTGTAGAGAAGTTCATGGAGAAAGACCAGGTACAACGGAAACCACATGGAATCCTCTGTCAGATGAAAACACAAACATAAAATGCAGAAATGCCTTAGGCTGTTATTTATGGTTTGCCCCTTCATAAAAAGAGCAAATGAAGATTAAGGTTTCAAATACATTCGATCTATGTAAACACAAAATTAAAAACAAAACAATTTGAACCCAGTTATAAAACTTGGAAAAGAGTTTAAAAAAAAAAGAGTTAAAAGTATTTATATCGTGTTTAAAATAAAGCATAACTGTCACATCAAGAAACAAGTTGTTTGTTTCATCAAAGGAAATCAAACTTGATTAACGTCTCTTTTCGTGTCATTTTGTCGTCACACCTGCACTGATTCAGGTGTTTTTGTATCTGAGACGAAACACCACCATTGTCGACACCACCAGTGCTGAGCCTCACTACTGGCTCATCACAGAGTCACCTGACAAACCATTTGAGAGGCGCAAGTACACGTTCAACACTACTGAGGACGTCGAAAACTATTGGTTCGACCTGATGTGTGTCTGCCTCAATACGCCACTGGGTACGTGGTCACACACGCATGTATTTCAAATCAGAATCATTCGCAGCACTGGTGAACCTAAGGAAAAATATAATTTTGTATTTTTAAGACGTGTTTGTCTGTGAATTTATTCTAGGCGTGATCCGGAGCAAGAAAAATGTCACAGTTGACGACTCTTCTCCATCTTTTGTGCAGGAACGCAATGTGTTTGTTGGAATAGCATACCTTCTGAAGTAAGAACATATTTTCTACAAGTTAATTCAGTGTCTGACTTCATCTCAGCTCTAGTATAAATAAAAAGTGCTCTTTCGTGACCAATGATTTCACACAATATTGACGTAGTGGAATAAAGAATAAAGTTAAATATAATCAGATGTAAAGAAAATTTTCAGGTTTTATGAAATAATGAACTTAACAACCTGGAATTTAAGCTTTTATTTTATGTTTAAACAGAACAAAAGCAGTTCAACACCAGTGTGTTCTTTGAATTGTCATTCTCTCACACACCCACAGGGGCAGCAGTGAAGTTTGTGATGACGGGTTGATACCAGGCGACGGTAAAGGAGCCGCAGGTCTGCATTCTGAATTTTTTGGTCATCTTAAACGCAACTGGTTTTGGACCAATCACCTTCTCTCTGTCAAAACGGTACGTCAACTAAACAAGAGCCAGATATTTTTCAGTTTTATCTCATGTATCATTGCTTATTTGTTTTTTTATTTGTATTTTTTAGAACCCAGCTGTTTTTGAAGCGAGGGAGAACAAAATCCGACTGAAGAGCTTGCTGAGTAAAAATGCTCTCAGGTTTGCTTTTAAAGCCGGTGAGTTGCTTTAAGTATAATGATTTACTATTTACAATCCTTATTTCATGGATGTACTGTATGTATGTGAATATAAAAAAATGTTTCTATGCATCTGTTTGTAACAGGAGGAACAACTAAACCTCAATATCTGACAACCAAGCATCCACTGATGGCAGAGGTATATTTTTTATAATCTTTACATACACTTATCTGGCAGTTAACACCTAGCTTAAACAAATACAGTCTAATACAGCTTCTTCTATAACACAATGATGTGTTATAGAAAAGTTAAGCAGCTATATAAATGCAGCTCGTTTAACAATTAACAAAGTTAAAGGGCTTCAAACAATGTGTCTTGCTCTTGTGTCTTTATAACCAGGTGGGGATTGAACCTGTGAGCAGAAACCAGCAGGTGGTCGGAGGAAAGAGACAGAAGAGGAAGAGAAGCAAAAAGGAGGTTGTCAAGGTCCCACGCAAGAAGAAGAAAGGTGCAGAACAGCTAAACATACAAATAAAAGCATGTTTCTGGTGGAGACCAGGGTTATTATAGTTAACGAAAACCAAGACTTAAACTAAAACTAGCAATGAAAAAATAATTTAGTTAACTGAAACAAAAATAAAAACGACAATTACAAAAGAAACGAAAACTAAATAAAAACTACAATGAACAATGCAAACTAAAACGAAACTGAATTGCTGATAAATTCAGCTTCGTTTTCGTTTCGTTTTCTCCCTGGATTACTTCCTGTCCTGCAGGTGATGGTTAAAGAAAGAAATTAAAGGACTTGATAAACCATATTTGGTGTCACACATTGTTTCATCCTTTTTCAGATTCTACTCAAAGCTTTCTCTTAATACCTGGAAAAACTAAACTAAGACTAAAACTAAATAAAAACTAAACTGAAACTAGTCGATTCCTCAAAACTAAAACTAAACTAAAACTACAAAATCACTTGTTGAACTCACTAAAACTAAACTGAAATAAAAAAGCAAACTGAAAAACTATATACAAATAAAAACTAATGAAAATTTCAAAACTATAGTAACCTTGGTGGAGACAAGATGGAAAACTGACAGATTGTGTTTTATTCTTTTATTTTTACACAGAGCCAAAGAAACGCACACCTGCCCACGACGAGGCCGACCACCGGGCTTTGAAGATGATGACAAGGCAACGAGTCTACTGGTCTATACAGGAAGACTCACTGATGATGCTCTGCAGTGTGGCCTCACACCTGCTCAACAGCAAGGTACACACACACACACACAAACCCGAATCACAGACGAGCACATTTTAAATGGATCCTTGGATTAGTGTGATTTAATTTCATATGGTTATTGTGTTTCTTAGGTGAATGTAGTGATCAGCATTTCCATTTATTTGTGCAACCGATTTGTTTTTAGTTTTTTTTCATGAAACTTAATTAATGACCAAAAAAACTCTTATTTTTCATATTCAGATGAACTTGTTTGTGTTACTGCTTAACTTGATTTTAAATGAGGGACATTGACAGTCATGCATTTACCCTTCATTCAAGGAACCATACATTATGTGTTGCAGTTAAAGAGGCCATTTGTTCCGTACTGTGGGGTGAGAGACCTGCTACACTCAGAGTTTGAGATATCGATGGACAAAACATCTGTCGCTGTTGGACGTCGTACGCGGTACATCCTCAAGAATCCTCAGACGCTCCTGAACTACAGGTTGGCACAGAGTACGGATGCACAATTAAAAACACTTACAGTCGAGAGGTTTCGCTCACACAAAGTGTGTGTTGCAGGATCTGTCTGGCTGAGGTTTACCAGGACAAAGCTCTGATGAAACTGCTGGAGGAGAAGAAACCTGCTGATCCTAATAAACTAGAGGTGTGTTCTCTGCTTGTTTGTTTCAGAGTCTGACAGATTTTGATTTTGGGGCCAATACTAATATCAGTATTATAAATTTGCTCATATATATGTATTAAAACAATTTGGCAAGATATGGTTTTCAACCCCTTATAACAAACACATGTAATTGAGGCTTCATATTTTACAGTTAAACCTTCTTCTCTGCATTGTTTATTCTATAAAATAAGATTTTTTTTAATTTCCTGTTGAATATTTCTGCTTTTGTTGTTTTAGGATTGTACCGCCTCTTTCTCAGAGTACACCAAGCTCCTCCGACAGAAGTTCAGCTCCGTCATGAGCCTGTGTGATATCATCGCGCCGGACACCAAACAGGAGCTCTTCTCACGGTAAGAAGAGGCGGAGTTTTGAAGTGCTGGTTCGAGACAAGTAGCTCAGTGCAGTGTGGTAATTAATTATGTTCTGTATGTGTGTGTTACAGGTTCAAGGTTTCTGCAATAGACAGTGCAAAGCGAGTGTTGGGCAAAGATACTGTCAAATGGTAATGATACATTTTTCTTTAGTTTTATTTCCATTACATTAAATGTTTTGTTTTTTTATGGTGTGAGTTAATTGTTTGTTGGTGTGTGTCCATCGCAGCACTGAAGACATTCACACCATAGTGTTACAAAACCTGATCCAGAGCACTCTGGCCATGACCAACAGTCAGATGAAGTCGTCCCGATCCTTTCAGGTAGCTTTAATATAACTCCACCTCTCACAGTATGTGGCTCACTTCAGTAAAATCTATGGCAAAAGACCATGGAGTAGAAATAAATCAAAAATCGAACCCGCCCTGTTGTCTCTGCTCTCGTCTCCTCACTCACAAACACAAAACCCCCACACATCTCTGACTGTTCTGTCCTCACCCTCAGACCTTCCACATGTACAGTAAGTACAACCAGGAGCTGCTGTGCCAAGTGTTCATACAGTGCAGGAAGAGTGGCCTGGTCAACCGACGTCGTGTCAATCAGCCGTTTGGGCCGAAGAAGAACCGAGCGCTGCCCATCCTGCCCATGTCCTACCAGTTGTCCCAGTCCTACTACAGGTACACGACCACCTGAGCAAAGATACTGTCAGTACTCAGATAACGTCTACTGCTGAAGTTTGCTGCTGTATTATTTATTAATTGACGTCATTTCATCATTAAGGAGCATTTTCATTGTTTCTGATGCATGTTTCCGTTTGATTTTTTGCACCAAAGTTTGCTTTTTGTATGTAATTGTTATTTATTTATTGTTAATTATAATTATTTTGTACTTAATTGGCAGGAATTGGACACACACTAAATCTTCTCTGTAATCATCTGATCATGTAATTTAATCATGGTACATCTAACACGCTGCCATTTTCCCACACAGATGTTTTACGTGGCGTTTCCCTCACTCGCTGTGCAGTGATTCCTTCCGCTTCGTGAGAAGTCTAATAAACAAGGGCACAGGAGACGACAGACCTGTTACCGCATTTTACCATGAACCTGAAAACAGGTTAGAGAACGGTGAGACAGTGTTGGAGCGGCAAAAAGGGTCAAAAAGAAAAGAGAAACAAAGTGAAGTTAATGCTGAGAGCGCAACAGTGAGTGAACCAGAGCCACAAACAAAGGAAGCAAACACTGAGTCGACAAAAGAAGGCGAGAACGAACAAAGGCAGGAGGAAGGAGAAGAGAAGTTGATGGAGGTAGACAAAACAAATGAGGAGAAAAACCCAGACGATAACCTTCCAGCTGATTCTGGTGAAGATCCGTCCAGCAGAGAGCAGACAGACGATCAGCTGCCCAAAGAAAAGCTGTCAGAAGAGGCCGCGGCCTCGGATGCAGCATCTGGAGTTCCAGAGGATCCTCCAGATGTGTCGGACATGCTGGCGTACTCTCTGGACTCTCCGGGTGGAACCTGTGCTGCGGCCCTCAGCCTCATGACCCTGGGTCTGCTGAACGTGCACATGTCCATACCAAAACAGATGGTGGTGGTGGACAGCACCCTGGTGGACAACGATGTCGTCAAGAGGTGAGATATGGAAGGACGTTATGGTTTCATTGTCTCTGGATTAGGCAAAATCAGCCAAACAGATAATCCTTAAACTTGGTGTAAGGGTGAGTTATGAGCAAAGAAGGAAGCCATTAACTTTTGGAGCGGATTGAAATAAGGTTACTATGGTTACATCCTGGAATTTATTCTTTTTTTTAACAAGTATTAGCTCTAGCCGCAATCTGTTCTTATTTCTTACTGTTTTCCAGCATGGCAGCTTTGGAGGAAGAGGACGACAATGATGATGATGACGGTGAGGAGTGTGAGGGGAGAAAGAAGCTGGAGGTGAAGGCCCATCAGGCGTCACACACCAAATACCTGATGATGCGAGGATTCTGCTGCCCGGGCATAGGTAGAATCTGTTCTCTTTACTTTTAATTCCGATAGATGCATTGTATTAATAATGAAAACTAGATTTGTTCTGCTTGTACGTAGCGGATGACCGAGAGATGAGTTTGTTTTTCAGCAGCTGGATTAAATGAGGGGTACAAAAGTGATTTTAACAATTGATTTTTTATTTCCTATCGAGTTACATTGTTAATGAAATCGTTAAATATAGTTAACACATAATTAACCAAATAGTTGATAAACTGGAAATTAATGATTTACAAGTTTGACAACCGATTCATATGTGAAAAGTCATTAATCAAGCTGATTTTCTTTTTTTAATGTTGATCATTGTAAATGTATTTTCCTTGGATTATTGTTGTTGGACAATTATTTGTTTGTCTAAGAAAGTTTTAAGATAATTAATCTACAAACACAAAGTGATAGGAGTTTGTTGAAGTCCTGTTCAGATGAGTGAAAAGTATTTTTGTTTCTTCAGTCAAAGTGCGTAACCTCAACACCAATGATAACATCGTGGTGGAGTCGTGTATCATGAACTTGCAGCTGCGCGACACACCTGCTCACCACATATTCAGTATGGAGAGTAAGTATCAACACACTCAGGACACATACAATCAAATTTAATCTGCAAAAACTAATTCTGCTTCCTTTTCTCTTCATTTATAGACTCTCCTCCTCTGGACTTACGTAAATGTGGTCCATCCCTGGTTCCCTCCGTCCTCACCTCCTCCATCCCCTTCTCCACCTCGTCCTCCTCGCCGTCCCACAGTGTGGAGGAGTGTGACAAGAGTTTGATCGAGCAGAGAGGATACACTCCTCAGGACATAGAGGCATGTGCCGATCTCAGGAGGAGCTTGGATGAAGCCGGGGAGATCGGCTTGGACATGCATGACCTGCACCAGGCTCACACTCACCAGGTGAAGCCTCAGTCTGGACGCACCAGGAGCCTGCAGCAGTACATCCAGGTAAACTCAAGCAGAGATGTTAAAAAGGTTCTTTTGAATTATCTTTTAACTTAATAGTTGATTGTTCGGTAAGATCTTCGACCCCTAGTTATTTTTGTTTCATCTGTCAGTGAGATATCACATAAAGGTTTTTACATTTTGCTGAGTTGATGAAAGCTAATTCCAAAGGAGTGCAATGTAAACTTGTACAAAATCGTTAATGACGAACAGAAACATGTAATAATAAATAATTAATTAAGGAAAACAAATCGATATCATTACTTTAAATTGAAGTTTGACTGGAGCTCTTTATTCCATCATCTCTGTGACACCTGATTGGAGATGTTGTTGTTTGTCTTGCGGTGGATTAAAACACATTTTATTTCACATTGAAAAGGACTTGATTGGGGGGTGAACTGTCAGTTTCCTTGTTTCTTATTTCTCTGTATAGTTGCTCATCTGATGTTTTCCCTTTTTTGCTCCAGGACTTACGTGAAGAAGGGCAGGTGTTGAAAGTTGGGGCTTGTGGCGCTCGGTACGTGCTCCTGAAGCACGCTGATCCCTGGCTGCTGACTGTAAACCCCAAGCAGTGGTCCCAGGCACGTGTCACACCTGACAGACTCAAGTTTTTAAACAATCCCTTAATGCGAAAGAGATTCAGGCGTGAAAGCCTACAGGAAACAGAGGAGCCGCCGGCCAAAAAGGCTGCTTTGGACAAACAAGAGAGCAATGGCGGAGAGGACGGAGAGGGAAGTGACATGACAAGAGAGACACTGAATGAGGAAGCACAGATGAAAAATCAGCAAGAGAGGTCAGATGAGGAAAGTGGAGAAAAACAATTGAACTTGGAAGAAAAGGAGCGAGAAGAGCAGACACAGCATGAAGACGAAGGGGAGGAGAAGACAGGACAGGAGAAGATGGAAACTGAAGAGCCACAGGAAGAAAAGAGAGAGTTGAGAAGCAGTAAATATAGTATAGACGATGAAAATGTCGAAGAAGCATCAGGAATATCCGATGTTGAGTAAGTACAGTAATTATCTCACCATGGTTAACCACGCTTTTTCCTTTACCTGTGCGTAGTCGCCTTCATCTCTCTGTTTCCATCAAACCCACAGTGAAAATTTGAGTTTCATCAGTCGGCCATGGCGCTTGGTGGATGGTAAACTGAACCGCCTGGTGTGTAAGGGCATGCTGGAGGCCCTTCTCTACCAAATCATGTCCCGACCCGGAGTCACGAAGCAGGCGCTGGTGGAACATTATACAAATGTGCTGCAGCCAATGGCCGTGATGGACCTCTTGCAGGTAAAGAGAGAGCCGACGCCTGTGTGTGTAAACTCACCACTGAAAGTCAAATATTAAATTGTCTGCTTTTTCCCTCCATATATCCATATTATAAATGTATGTAAAGTCGGAGTATTTGTTTGGGCGGGTTCATATCTTAAGTAACAATCTGGAAGTTATTTAAATAAAAGAATCCATATTTACACGTTCAGTATTTTCCACTCAGAAAGAATCGACTTTAAATCAATAACCCTTTTGATGCCTGATGTGCCCCCCCCCCTCTCTCTCTTCTGTAGGCACTTATGGAAATTGGCTGTGTGGTGGAGAAAACTCTGGTTAAAGGTCCTCAACCTTCTCTGTTCAGTCGCCCCGTGAACCAGACGAGACGCGACACTGAGGAGAAGCTTGAGGAACCAGACTCTGTCTTTTACGAGCCCACCGTCTGCTGCTGCCTGCGGCTCAGTCAGGTGTTACCCAACGAACGCCACTGGAACTACTGCATACCATGAAAGTGTTTATCCACCCGGCCTCACCTGGAATCTCGTTAGATGTATTATAATTCTTCTTAAGTTTAAACCTTGGGACGTTTTAGCAACATTCAGACTCTGTTCTGATCTTTAATGACAATTCTGGTTTTACAGAAAAACGTGGATTTCTTTGTACTTTTTCAGGTTTTGTCCCTTGAAATTTAAATTGTGTTTTTGTGTTCAACTTTTTTGCAATCTAACGTTAAAAGTTTAAATAAAAATGCCTCACGTGACTTTCTTGACTATTTTTTTAAGTGGTGTGACAAACCACAGTGATCATATCGCTCCACTTGCGTAAAACGCTGGACATTCACCCTGAGAAAACTCGTGCCAGACCAGAAAGGAGTCGCTGGAAAACTCGCAGGTGTCATTTGGTTTTGAAGTGTCACTGATTCCCAACTTCATGCACAACTTCCCTTTAATGCAGAATCTCTCCATTTGTCAATATTGTGTTTTTGTTTATTCATCGCAGTTTCTTTCAGACAGCCGGGATCGGTCTGCGGCCCAGTGTAGGATGTCAGGTAGGGACTTCTTGCTGTAAACAACTGCTCCACTTTATTCACAAGTTGGGTTAAAGGAAGACTGTGGATTGAGATTTATATTTACTGTTTCTTACCAAAACACACTGCAGCCTGTTTTTAAGCTGATAGTCTTGATCCTGCAGTGGAAATGTGTATCTTGGCTGTCAACTGTGTCCTTGGGTCCTGCAGGAGCAGTAGAACTGAACAAAACAGGGACACACCCATCAAACCATTGTTCCACAGTGCTAAAAAGGTACGTACTGCCTCATATGTGGTACCTAAGTAAAAGTATGACTATTTAATGTACTTTAGGTAAGGTTCAAGTACATTTCTACTTATGGAATAATGAGAAAGTAGCATTTTACTCTTTTACTTCTTAAAAACAATTAAAATCATTGAATAATCAGCATGAAGTTAATAAATTTGAAATAACTAGTTGTATTACTGTATGTATACATTTATAAAAAACATATTTTATATTCTCTTCCAATGTTTTATTTGCTTAAATCTTACTTAAATTATAAAATCAGATAAATGCAGCAGAGTACAAAAACCTCAGAATTGTGGTTAAGTACAGTACTTGACATTGAGTAAATGTAACATCCCACTGAGGATGTTTGGTTGCTGTAGAGCTAACATACTCTAATAGTTCATATGGTTTTCTAATCGGTCACATTCATGTCTGCAGACACGACACATCCTGTTCACGTCGACGCTCACACACACTCATCTCAAAACACCATTTATATTTCTGCTCTTGAATAAACTTCTTTCTTTCTTTGCCGTAAACTTGACACAAGAATGAGTTTGAACAGGTAATAAGGATAATTTGGTTCTAAGCTCTTGTGATAAAAAAAAAATATAAACGAGAGCAAAGTGGTTATTTGCATTTTGTAACCATGGCAGCGAAGTCAGGAAACTGAGCAATAGAGATTACCGGTTGAGGAAGTAGAGGAATGTGTGCTGATGGTTCTGTTTCCTCTTGATTCATCATTACATGATTTCCTTAACTTTTTTCTCTTGAACGACTTAACCTTTTGGATTTGTTGCCCGCCAGCAGACCACCCACACACATGAAAACACAGATAACTGCCTTTATGTGGGGGGATATTGTGATGCTCAGGACCCCGAGGGGCAGGAGAGGAAGGGTGGTGCAAGCTGCTCCATGTACCTGAGTATTGACACATACCTTACGTGAGAATCACCATTTATAACAAGCAGAAAAACCTTGAGTCTGAATATTTCCTCAAACGTCATCGACTGAAACATTTGACTAAGAATGACTAGTCATTATCTATCTTAGTCAATATAGTATCTTAGTTAATATCTTAGTCATTCTATGAATGACTAAGATATTTATAAATATCTTTGACCTTTAAATGATTGTTCAGGCCTTTAAAAATGTATGAACAAAACAACAAATAATCATAGGGTTAATTTAAAATATATAGATTTTGCTTTCTCTATCAAGCCAGAAACATTGAGTTGTACCAGTTGAAGAAAGTTATATTCATCTATTTTATGTTATTTATTTTAAAACGTGAAAAGTTTGCATCAGGCCTTCTTTATTTATTGAAACTAAATAAACAACCTATTTGAACGTAATAAAGTTTATTTTTGTCGCACGTTTAAATGCAGCACTAAAGTACCTTTGAAATGAACTGGGAGTCGAATTGCTCCATGATCTGTGTTAACACAATGTCTTACTTTCACTTTGACGAGGTGCCGACTCTGAAGTGTGTGTTGTTGTAAGAACTTGGGGAGGATGTGTGGTTAAAAACAGGCTGTGCTGCCAACATCATTCCAGTGCAGCAGAAAGTCCAAGCTGAGGGGTGAACTCGTACAGAGCGTCTCACTCTCCTACCACATTTAGGTTTTATGTTTAAGTTTTTCCAGGGAGAATAATTGGGGGACGATGTTTGTCATTCCTCTGGTAGTTTCTTGGACGAGCCTTCTTTGTTACTTCCATGTCTCCGGTTGTGGTGAGTGAAGAGTTCTCCGTCTGTAATTCTACTTCTTAAAAAGGGCTTTATTGTTATCAGGCTATAAATTAGATTATTATTACACAATAATTACACTTTATAATTGGAGATTTACTTAAATGCTGGGATTTTCCTCTTGTTTTTCTGATTCATTCGTATTTAAAGACTCATTTTGTTCTTGTAAATCTGGACAAAGTGAGTAGTTATTAATATCGCTATTGTTATAATCATGTGTAATAGTAGTAGGCATTAAGTTAGATATTACTACCAGTTAAATTGTAGTTTTTCATGCTTTAATATTGCATCAGATTTTTTATTTCACATTAAATTGTTTACAGATTCCATGTTTAACGGGGTTTTTGTGTGTGCAGAGAAACCTGTGTTTGCTCCGTCCAGGCTGGTCGTGAAACATGGTGACTCGACCTCTGCCACATGCTCCGTGTGTCCGTCCTGCACCGGTAAAAAGTTCGGTCTGGAAAAAGCTGTTGGAAAACTCATTCAAAACGGAACCATTATCACGTGGACGGTTGACACAATGACTGAGTGGAGCGTAGTGGCTATATGCTATTATCTTAAAGCGGATAATGAGAACTGCAACAGCGAACTGAATGTTATCGTTTACAGTAAGTTCACCCGCAGGTTGACAAAGTGATTATTCATTTAATTACCTGGTGGTTCTGTTTTTGTTGGTTGATGCAGGATTAGGCATAAGAATGGGAAATGGGTCAAGACTTAACTCCTTTAATTTTGACACAGATCTGGACAAACATATCAATGAGTGTTAAATTTGGTGTTGATCCAAATACGAGGATTCAGCGGGTGGGCTTGTCTATGCAATTGTGGGATGGAGCGGCGGTGTCGACGTCCCACCGATACTCACGAGTCAATTTCACCCCGTTTAATATCATTCAATAATGAATTAGAACCAAAGGTGCTGGGACAATTAACAGTTGAGCATCAGTGTGATGAGAACTATCTAAAATGACAGAAACCCTCTTGGAGAACAATTAATTTGACTTGAAAGTTTGGTCCATGTCCTGTTCACATGGAGGAGGCAGGACTTATAACCCATCCTGCAGTCAGCCACCAGGGGGCGATACAAATCCTTTGGCTTCACTTTTGGGGAGCTGTGTCCATCATCTTCCAGTCCAGATGAAAACAGACAGCTATTGGGCCTTGGCGGAAGAATCTATCCATCTATTTGATGTTGTCTTATTATGTGTATGTTTGTGTCTCTGTCCACAGAACCTCCGGACAGTGTCTCCTTCAGCTTTACAAATCACTCACACATGTATGAGGCTAATAATTACACTCTGCAGTGCGACGTGAGGAACGTTGCCCCGGTTGAAAACCTTTTGGTGACCTTCTACAGAGGTCAGACCATACTGGCTCAGCTGCAGTCCACCAGTGCACCACAGGCAGAACCAGAGAGCGAGGTTTTCACTGTGGGCATCAAGGCCAGGAGAGAAGACGACGGAGCTCAGTACTGGTGTGAAGCCAGGCTGGAGCTGGGAACTGATGGACCACAGCCCCCTCCTGTGGTGGCGTCACAAAATATCACCGCCACAGTCTACTGTGAGTCTGTTTGTACAGCAATCACCAAATATTATGTAATTAAATTAAATTAAAATAGTAATATATCTTCATTTTAATTATATTTTCATGATTATACCAATTATGGAATTTGGTAAAATGAAGTGGAATGAAGTTTAAAATTATTCATCAGGTACATAGATTTACTGATGTTGTGCATTTTGTATGTATTTATAAATAATACAATTTATAAATCTATTACTGTGAAGTAGCAGGAGCTTTCAAACAGAATCAATTACCACGATTCAAAAAGAGGGTTACACTCACTGCATAAAATCTACTGGCAACCAACAACCACATAGAAAATACATTGTGAAAGACATTTAAGATGTTTTTAATGAGACATATTCTGCTCATATTCAGGTTCTTAATTTGAATCTGTGTTATCACTTGAAAAGGAGGTATCGGCCACGCTCACTGACGAGGGGCTTCGGGATCAGTGTTTTCTGTGGGCGAGAGGAGCTTCATGCACTGACACTGGGCTTTTTAAATTTGCAGAACTTTTACATTCACAGAAAATCCACATAAGACACCAGAGGAAAGAAACACTGGGGAAAAAAGCATCATATGTCTCCTTTAAAGGTTCAGGGTGTAGAATTCAGTGACATCTAGTGGTGAAGTTTCACGTTGCAGCTGAACACCCCTCACCTCACCCTCCCCTTCCCAACATGATAGAACCCGTGGTAGCTTCAGTTGTTATAAAACACTCAAAAGGTTTAGTTTGTCCCGTTTGACAGTTTAAAACATGACAGCCTCTGCAGAGAGGACACGCCCCTGATGTAAATATGAAGTATTTAAATATAAAGGGTCATTCTGAGTAAAGAAAACTACAATTTGTACAATTTTGATGAAACCAATTAGGATTATTTTATATTCAATTTCTGCCAATACCTAAATCCTACACACTGAACCTTTAAAGCTTCCTAAGGCCTTTTGTTCAGGGACCTAGACTTTAATGTGCTTTTACATTTTTAAACTTTATTGTTCATTCTGTTCTCTTTGACAGTGTACACTTAGATATTAAAGGAGTGATTCAACACTTTCCTGCTGAGAGTTGATGAGATGATTGACATCGTCTCTGTACTTATCTGTTGTACCTGTGCATCTCTTTACCGTCTGCATTAATCACTGTTGAGATTTTCACCGTCGTTCCTCCGTAAATCCACAGATAAACCTCATCTGGAGAGGTCATCACACCCAGAACCCATCGTTGTCACAGAGAGAGACAGACTCCAGCTGAACTGCTCAGCTGAGGGAAACCCCAGCCCCTCGTTCACCTGGCGGCCGCCTGTGTCCAGGCCTCCCCACCGCACCGGCACTGGCAACACTCTCATCATTAACTCTGTCACTGTGGAGGATGAAGGCCTGTACGTATGTTTCATCAGAAACGACATGGGAACTGTCAACGTTACCTTCAACGTGACTGTCAAAGGTGAGTTACCATCGGTTACCATCATCAATTGTGGAAATTTGGATATTCTTAATAATCTAGAATTCTGCGATTGTTTAAATACCTAAATATGTACTTAATGTTCATGTTGTTAGAAAGTGTAAAATCTTTTGTTGGCATTATGGAGCCGCGGGGGACAATAGTTCATCTTCAAATTAATTTAAAAATATTACAGATTAACTGAAAAAGTGTGATAAGAAAAACAACCTTTATATCTCAGATTTTTGTCACTATTTGTCTTTCACTCTCTTTATTGTTCCACTTGTTCAACCCCCTGCTCACATTTATTCTTTTAAATCGATTCTTCTCTTTCCCCAATCGACACTTTATTTCACTCACTGTGTTTTTTTCCAACACACGTAATCAATCCAAGAGAAATGATGGTTGACGTCAGTCCTTAAACATTGTGTTGATTATCACATTCTTCTGTTTGTCTGTAGGTTTGTTAACCACCACCAGTTTGCCTCCAACAACCACAACTACAGCTACAACAACTACAGCAGCTACAACTACAGCTACAACAACTACAGCAGCTACAACTACAGCAGCTACAACAACTACAGCAGCTACAACTACAGCAGCTACAACTACAGCAGCTGAAACAACTCAAACTCACATCATCAAGATGACGGACGCACCGGACAGCAGTACGAGCATCACACTGACTTGCTGGTTCACAACGTGGTTCATGATTTTTTTCTCTCTCGTGATCTGAGTTTCAGAGAATCTTTAAGAAACAACAATAAGATGTAATGTAACCGTGACGATATACAGTGTAGCTCACATGTCATTGATAGTCACAGAAATAAAAGTTAATAAACTGAAAATGGATGAATAAATAACACATTTTTCATGCTGGAGCCTCATCTGGTTCCATTTGTGACGTAAATGCTTTTACAAGATCGTTAACCAAAGTTTCGCTTGATTTCTCAGTTTATTCTAGTGACAACATCAGCATATCTGCATCTCAAACTAAATATAATGTCTCCACACTTCTATAAGTGTTATACTTGTACCCACACTACTTCAATCTCCCCCCTAAATATTGGGGTCTGTAACTGTCTCCTCCACTAAAATACTGAATGGGTTAAGGATGGATTCTGATCACGTTTAGGCAATAAGTCCGATGAACAAACCCGCAGAGCATGTGTGTCACTCAGTAACCTCAAACATCCATCTTTATGTGCAGTGGATTGTGCTGTATATAAATAACAGGACTTGCTTTCCCAGCTCTATCTGAGCGGTGGGGAGGTTTTTAATCCTCGGACCATAGATTTTTCCCAAAATTGAAGCCAAATCATCTGGATCGCCTCCTGGTGGCTGGCTGCAGTATAGGTCATAAACTTTGCCCCCTAGTGGACGAGACACACCCGAAGCTATGAAGTCAAACTAAAATTTTGCCAAAGATGGTTTCTGTCAGTAAAGCAGTTAAAGGGATGGTTCACCACGGCAACGCTGTTTATCCCTGAAACTCCAGACGTGTTTCACGGACTCAAACACTTCACCTCCATCGGCAGTGGTGAGTAGATCATGAGTGAATTTTTCTATTTTCCGGTGAACTCTCCTTTTCATGTTTCAGTTAAGATTTGAAGCCGTAAAAAATGAACAGAACGTCATGATTTACAGCTGAGACAGACGTGTGTGTGTGTGTGTATCGTGTCTTTGACCCTTTGACCTGTGGCTCGGCAGGGGGCTTCAGGTGAGAAGACGCCATGGTGCCTGTGGGTCCAACTGTCCGGCCCCCCCGGCAGCCATAGTGCTGCTCCGAGCGAGGCCGAGGTTATGTCAGGACTCATCTGATTTGGTGTCATTTGTCAATTTGTGAACACAAGTTTGACTTCAGCTTTGAACTCAGGTTCATTTTTATCTTTCTACTTCCACGTACTCTGTGAATATTTGTGTCCTTCTTCGGCCTGAATAATTAATGCTCCGTTACTTTATTATTCAGTCCCCTCTGCACACACACCGAGCAAGGGTGGCACTTTTTAGTCCAACTCTGCGGTTGAATCAGCTGTTTTATCATTAGATGCTAACTCTGCAGATCAATGGTCCTCTCGGCCTATTAGTCAAACTGGCCGTATTAGCATCAGCTATTAGCATCCGCTCATCGATACCATTGATCAAGCTGCGCTGGCTTCGGCTCGGAGCGGGACACGCAGATGGAACTGGACATTTCACTGATCGACTACATCAACAGCAGTCAAATCTGATGCCGGGACACGGTAAGTGATGCTTCACAGAACGATAAGTCTGCATCATTTAACTTTAGTCTGAAGATTTGAAACTTGAAGGAAACATTTTGCTTCTAGAGCTGAAATGATTTGTGGTTTGATCTATTTGTGGTTTTCAATCACTCAATCAATATTTAAACATATAGGACCCAGGTTCTCATGCAGGATACTGTTATTCTGACTAGGTAATCATAAGAACATTTTGAAAAGTAAAGCAATTTTATATTTATGCCCACAAAGAAGGGATAATAAAGTTATTTAAATTAATATAGAATAGACAAAAACAAAAACTAGATATGTGTGATGAATAATTTTAATAAAATCAATGGGAGGAAATAGAACATTTAACAAAATGAATGAAATCAAATAAATGATGGCTTTACAACTTTTCATGATTGACACTGATTTAATGAGATAAAATATTTTAGTGAGGTATTAATTAATATAATTGCACAGTGTCACTGCAGTGAACAGCACAATGAATGGAGACAACAAGTTTCTTTAGGAAGATTAAAACATTATAAATGTGGCTTTTACTTTATGAATATTACAATATGAAATAAATGTTTTTTTTTATTGATGGCTGTCAATTCAAATTGTAATTACTCTTCTAATCCTGCAGGTGACGGTAGTGTGCTGATGACCTGACAATCAAACGTTTCAGTACAGTCGACTGACAGTTCGCTCTCTGCAGCTCATCTGTGAGGATCCACTGTCTGCTCGCATGAGGATGTGGTGGCTCGTGGTCGTCCAGTTTGTCCATTCTGTGAATGTTAGAGAAAAGTTTCTCCTGCAGAGCCTTTCTCAAGTGGCTGCAGGCCTCAACCTCATATAACCGGAGAATTATTTGTACAAGAGAGCGCACAAAACCTTTATTCATCTGATTCTGAAGAAAAGTGGCACAAACTGGATTCACTGACCAACCATCGACTGTTGAGAACATAAAACAGAATTTCCTCTTCGCTCATCTGAGTAAGTTTGGTTACTTCAGAACAACATATTTATTTTAATAGCTGTGATCAAGTGATTATTAAGTTGTAAAGTTTTATTTTATCTGTGTTTGCTAGTTAGCTGAACTCACTCAACCAACACTCAACCGATTTTTCAGGAACTTTGTCAAAACGTGTGTCACTCCGGTAAATTAAGAATCAATTACATTTTGGAGCAGAGCCAGGGATTTCACTTCCTTGAACATGGGCACATTGGGTGTTGTTCTTGGCAGAGCCGTTCTTCGTCTATTTGTCTACTTTATAGGTTTGGATTGCATTCGCCTTTAGGGAAAGAAAAGGAGGTTTTTCAATCCATCAATTATCTACACCGCTTATCCTCCAAGGTTCGAAGGGAAAGCATTCACACTCACATTCATATCTATATGGTCAATTTAGAGTAACACCAATCTGCAACACGGGAGAAATGACCTTGAGGCGATTATTTTAAATGTCGTTGTGGTCTTAATGTCTTCCAAAACTCTCTGTGATGAGCTGGAAATTAAAGCTGAGTGCTTTAATACCCGTGATCTAATGTGATGTGAGACAACTTGAGACCTAAACTCAAACTCTACGTATCTTCCAGGTGAACAGATGTTGAACAGCAGCTGGAGAATCTAAAAGGTGTGTGTGAGTGTGTGAGTGTGTGAGAGTGTGTGTGAGTGAGTGAGTGAGTGAGTGAGTGAGTG